ATGAAAAATCAGGATCAAATGAACTGGGTGCAATTATAAGATTCTAAATGGGGTATAGAAATACAACTAACAATTGCCTATTTACAAACACCACTAGATAAAATCGTATTTCAATGGGATTTTCCACCCTTGTGATTGCATAGTCATATATTATTATTGTTTCTAATTTTAATTCTCAAATGTACTGTAATCAATTATAAACAATTTATTGATAGTCTAATTCCCCAATGTATTTTAATCAATGATCAATTACTAATGAATATGTGGATGCTGGCTCTGCTTAAACTACTGAGAGAAAACAATAAGATGAGAGCGACTGATGGCTACCTCAGATAAACAGGATTTTGTCTCTGAGAAAGCAATGGAGTTGACCATATTCCAAAATGATTTAGAGGCAAGCAAACTTCCTTGGAAGTTTCAGATAGATAAGGCGTGATTGGCTTAGCTGAAACTGCATGATCAGGACAGTGGGCTTTCAGAAAGGACAACAGCATCCTCATAAGATCCCTGTAAAAATAATTTTCTATTTAAAGAATTTATATCCTGCTTTTCACATGTGTCTCAAAGCAGCGTGCAAAGAACAAACAAAACATACAGTGGTACAGGATTTAAAACAGATTAAAACATCAGAAAATAAAATTGGAGAAGCATTTGTGGTGTGAAGGCATCCTGAAATGAAACTGTTTTGTCCTGATGCCATCAAAGAGGGAAGAGGCTCAGACGGCTGAACAACAAGAGACAGGGAGAGTATAAGAAACATGAGGACTGAGCCATTTTGGGGAGAGACTCTGCAGCAGCCCAGGGAGCAATGTGAAGCTTCCACTACCACTGAACTACATCCATCCCTTGGTGCTACTAGCCTGGCCATCTAGTTAGAAACTATGTATGAATGTTACAATTGGGAGCTCTTGACTATTGCAACAAATAGAGGTGTGCTTGTGTCCCTTCCCACAAATTGGTATCATTGCAGTTGGTGTCTCCTCCAATCCCAAGTTCTATTTATGACAGGTTCCATTGTTAGTGTCAATCTGCTATGTTACTTTTCCTCACCATGGCAAGATGAGCAGGACCCAAACCCCAAATAACTCTTTGAAAATATTCTGCAGTGAATATGCCAGGTACACTCTCTCTCTCTCTCTCTCTCTCTCTCTCTCTCTCTCTCTCTCTTACTTGGCTTTGTAATTAACAAAGGAGTAAGACTGAGTAAAGCAAACTGAAAGAGGAAAATTACATATTTTATGGATAAATGAAAAGAGACAGCAGTGCCAGACAACTTGCATAAAATTTAACAAGATTCTTCTGAGAGGGAATAATTTATTGTATCCTCCAAAAGAATGACATGTGAGACTCCACATTTTAGGGCTCAAATTTGGGCTGTTTTAGAAGTCAGATTCTGAGATGGTTAAAATGGCTATGCTCCTAATGGTCTTTTTTTTTTTTTTTAATGGTTATTGGAAGAGTTATTACTTTCACATCCACAATGAAATCTTTTCAGTTTCCTCTGCTTTTTCTCTGATGATTGGCGAAGTGGCGATTATTCATAACAGCCTCATGACACTAAAGCATGTCAGTCTCTTTGATATTCCTTTGTACAGATTGTCACATAAACAGCAAGCAAAATTGCTTCCACTTCTGAATTAGTGGGTTGCTTTTTCCCCAGCCTCTGACACCCTGGAGCCCTCCTGAAGTTTTGGGCTATAACCCCCATCGGCCCCGGGCAGCATTGCTGCTGCTTTCTGCCTACAAATAAAACATAATTGACAATTTGTGTCTCCCCACCCCCACCCCAATTTCATCATGGTAGACAGCAAGATGAATAACATAGTTTTTGGTGGAAGATGAACTGCAGCAGAATGGAAACAGGGCTGCGCACAGCAAATACAGAGGAGAAGGAAGCACAATGCCTCTGTTCATCCCTAGCAGCTGGTGAATGGATTCCCCAAAGGAACTAATTCTAGTGCAAGCTTGTAGAAGTGGGTGCTCTTACGCAGTTGAGGGCAGTCAACTGCTCTCCAGCAGCTAACAGGAACTCGTTTGGTTACCTACTAATTGGAGACATTAAGAGAAATGATCCCACAACATTCATTTCCTTCTCTTTGGATCCCCATACATAACATACTCAAGCCTGGGCATTATTTGGCAATGGAAAAACTGTGGAAGGTCTAGGGTGTTTTTTTAATAACATATGCTTACCGGAAAGCATGCTGAGTTTTCTCATTGCATTCAAGTTCTGTGTTCCTCCTCACCACGCACCAGGGGCAGGCTTTGGACTTTCTTTCTTTTCTTTGTAAAGTTTTTATTGTTAAAATAATTCAGCATTAATACACACATATTGCGAATATACAAGCATACAAACATACATTTCATACAATCCTTAAAAATGTTCAGACATACCTACACTCAATCCCACAGATAATTCCTTTTCCCATCACCATCCACCACCCCTCACCCCACCTTTGTCTTAGACTTCTACTCAATTGCAATTTCTTTCCACTTCTATTACTTTCTTTCACACACATTTAACCTAATTTCATGCTTCTTTTTCTATTACACATTGTTATCCATCTTATTTAGTATTTCAGTATTTAAACCGGAACTTGTTTATTCTAATAGGAGTTCTGATTTTTCGATATGGTTTTGCAAGTATCCTTTAAACACCTTCCAGTCCCTGTCTATCTTCTCTTTTGGACTTTCAAATTTCAGCAGTGCAAGGCCAAAATGGTTTTCCACAGGTACTCAGGATATGTGGATCAGGTAACAGTGACTGGCAGTGACCAGCCAAAGCTTAGACTAAAGAGGTGCACTAAAGAAGACAAGAATGGAGCAAAGGTGCGCAAGTAAAGCAAGACCTTTCTTACACCTTCTGTTAAATCACAGGCAGCTTCCTTTCCTTGCATGTTCTTAGCTTGCTATTATAGACACTCTGCTGGCTCCTTCCCTTGTTTGCATTCATGACTTTACAATGCCTATCAGAAAGCTCACCTGGAACTCATGCTGCTTCATGAGCGGTGCCTGACAAGTAAAAATTAAAATTCTGCAGCAGGTGGCTGAGGAAGTGTAAGAAAAGCAAAATATTTTATATCATCTTGGAGTATGTGGAATGGCAAAGGAATGCATGCCTCGTCGCTGTCTGTCTCAATATTGGAAAGTAACTGCTCAATGAGAATGTGCCAAGGGAAATATATATCAGTACTATGTATTTGAAGGGACTTAACAGTGATTCTTCCAGGGACACGGGTGGCGCTGTGAGTTAAACCACAGAGCCTAGGACTTGCTGATCAGAAGGTTGGCAGTTCGAATCCCCACAACGGGGTGAGTTCCTGTTGCTCGGTCCCAGCTCAACCTAGCAGTTTGAAAGCACGTCAAAGTGCAAGTAGATAAATAGGTACTGTTCTGGCGGGAAGGTAAATGGCGTTTCCGTGTGATGCTCTGGTTCACTAGAAGCGGCTTAGTCATGCTGGCCACATGACCCGGAAGCTGTATGCTGGCTCCCTTGGCCAATAAAGCGAGATGAGCACTGCAACCCCAGAGTCAGTCACGGCTGGACCTAATGGTCAGGGGCCTCTTTACCTTTACCTTAACAGTGATTCCTGCAGCCCTGTGCATGCTCACTTGGAAATTAATTGACTTACTTCCAAGATAAATGGTTTGGGAATGTAATTTCAGTGCAACACACACACACACCATTCAAAACACATATCCATTCTAAACATTCAGTTGTAGCCAATGTGGTGCCCTTCAAATGTTGTGGGACTACAACTCCCAGCAGTGCCAGATAGCATTGCCAATGTTCAAGGAGGATGGGAGCTGCAGTCCAACCACCTCTGGAGAAACCACATTGGCTGTTCCACACATTCCAATATGCAAGGGAAGTGATAACTTCTTGCAGAAATAATAGACCCTCACTACCTTTAGCTCAGCTGTCCAAAGGAAAGTTGCTCTGCCTTAAATCAGGAGGAGGAGGAGACTGGGGCTACAGAGGCTTCTTGGGTATGTTCTGTGGATTTGAAAATTTATTGCTTCTAATGCATCCCTGAAGGAAAAGCAGTGCTGAAAGCATTCACTCACTGGATTTCTGCTCATCAGGGATGATGAGAGATGTAGTCTAGCAACATCCAGGGTAGCTTACTCTGATGGAAAGATGGGTAAACCAATTTTCTGGAAGGGCATATATGCAACCCTAGCCCCCTTCCAGTGTCATATAAGCAACCTGATAAAAAAATATAAATTCAATCTTATATTAAAATTTATATTAAATTTAAAAAATAATAAATTTGCACTGTTTTGTCAAGATTTAACCACCATTCATCTCTATCTGATGAAGTTTATTTCCCCCCCATTACAGTTCTCCAACCTCGCCCCTTTCTTTAGCCTCAGCCTTGCAGCTTATTAATACACAAAGAAACAGCTCTCACCGCTTCTGGAAACACTATTTGTCATCACTGTCAGCACTCAGCCCAGTGTGCTATCAATTCGTAAGTGCAGGACAATTGTACATTTTGTATTTTATCCTCCACAGACAGGGCCGTGATGTGTCACCCAGATTCTTCACTGGATGGCCAGTCATCATATAATTTCTGTATTTGTTCATTCACAAAATCCTTTAAGAATCTCCTCATGAACTTAAGACGGGGAAAAATGAGTGATGTGAAAGCTGTCGAGGCACACATTTCGACTCTGCAGCACCCAGAATCTGCGTTGAAAATGTGATGTATGGCTCCAGGATTGAAGCATTTCTGTGTACTGACAATTAATTGGGGGGGGGGGGGAGGGACTGTCATGCATTTCCTAGCAGAGAAAGGGTGTTTGCAAATGAAGCCATGCTGACTAGCTTGTCTGGATTCTTTTGCTAGAAATTATTTTAAAATGTAATTCTGGATCGCAATATGTCAATAGCTAGGATACTTGAGGAATTTAATATTTGAGAATTCCCATATGAATTTCACCAATCTGCACCTTTTAGATAACTGTGCGCATCAGAACTTGGCTCTCCTCTCAGAGCCAGTGTGGTGTAGTGGTTAGAGTGTCCGACTAGGACCTGGGAGACCAGGGTTCAAATACCTACTCTGCCATGAAGCTCACTGGGTGACCTTGGACCAGACACTGCATCTCAGCCTAACCTACTTCACAGGGTTACTGTGGGGATTAAATGAGGAAGGGGACAACCATGTACACTTGAGTTCTTTGAAGAAAAAGGTGGGATATAAATTTTTTTAATGAATAAATTTTGCACTTCCTGAATGTTCCAAAGCAGATCTCAACTCGAAAAGGAATCAAAATATGTTTGCATATTAATAGATTTTAAAGCCATCTTTAAAAAGTAGATTTTCATGTTGACTAGTTTTTTAAAATGCAGAAATGAGATGGGGCAGAATTATGAATGAACACATGCCAAAGAGACATGAACTGGAAATAATTAGACATGCCCATCTCTAGTCAATTACAGGACTGCAGATTAGGGGAAACTCCACATCAAGGTAAGGAACCTCAGGTCCAGGATCTGAATGCAGTCTACAAAGGCTTTCTGTTTGGTGCTTGGAGTTCTCTCTAGACCATGCTCCTCTCCCAGGGTCACACTCTTCTCCACAGGCCACACCCTCAGTGTCTGTGCTCTGTGCCCTCCTAAGGTGTTTTTCCCTGGATGGACTGCATCCTTGAAATGTTATAATGCTTACTGCTTGCCTGAATGGAGACCTCAGTATGTGGGTACATGTGTAGAAAGTGCCAGCTTTTTGTGACTGGAATGCAAGACAGCTTCGCTCACTTTTGTCTTTGGTCCTGCTCACTAGTGGTATGTGATCCATGGAACTTTCACCATGAGGAAATGTGGCTCTTCGGCTGGAAAGGGTTCCTCACATCCCACCCTACACCCATGTAGTTCTTTACCAGTAGAGAAATCAGAAAGGCAAGGTGTTGACCTGCCCAGAGCTTACATTGATTGGGGTATGAGAGAGCACTGGGAGTCAAGCTAGAATAGCTTGACTTTTCTTGTCTGCATTGTTAGATTGCAGTGGTTAACCATACTCTGTGGGGTGTTGTTGTGTTTGTTCCCGCAAATCAACCAGTGCTGGCCAGTTGGCGTTGACATGTGACAGGGCCTTTTCGGTGGTGGTTTCCAATTTCTGGAATGCTCTCCCCGGTGAAGAGTATCTTTCTCCTTCATTATTATTTCAGGATGAATTTTAAAACATTGGCGGTTGAAATATATTATTCCTGGCAACCTTGAAATTCTTAGCTATGAGATTGTGTGGTTGTTTTCAGCCATTCAATGTTTAGATATTTTTAATAAGTTTTGTTTTTTATTCTCCCCCCCCCATGTATTATTTGCTGCTCTGGCTTCCCTAGGGAGGGAGGACAATTTAATAATAAATTAATGATATAGATATAAAGGGGTTTAAAAACAAAACAAAACCAAGCAGCTGGGGAAATTGTCATCCATTTGAAGAACTTGCTCTTCACTCTGATGACTTTTCGATGTGAAAGCAGAGAATTAAGATGGACGTATCTGTGCAAACAAAAGAACTCTTGCCACCAGCAATAAAATCTGTAAGCCAAAGTGACTGGCAAACCTTTCCTTCCAACATGTCAAATGCTGCACTTCTAAGCTGGTTTAACAAATACCTATTGTTGTTACGGATGGAGAAAGGCACGCACGATTAATACATAATGGCAGCTAGCTAGCTAGCCGGCCTGCTTCTTCTACTTCATCTTTGTGTGTGTGGCAAATGCAGTATGAATAAATGTGATCTTCTGTTTGTGAGGGAAATGGTCTGAGGGGGAACTAAAACTTTTTAGATTAAAAAACTGATGGCAGTTTACTCCCCCCCCCCCCCCAGTAGCAGACCTATCTATTTTCAAAGATAGCCAAATACAGAGAAGGACAGAAGTGTGTGACTTGGACCCACAACCCTGAGATTAAAAGTCGCATGGTCTACCGACTGAGCTAGCCCAGAGATATAGGCAGCCATACATCTTCATACATTGCTGGGGCTCCTTGGAAGACCCCAGAATTTGTAAGATTGACAGTTATTGAGCTAGGAATGTCTACTGCACAAAACATGGAGCCTTTGAAAAACAAAGTCCATTTTCTATAAAGCATAGATGTATGAAGGTGGGCAGAGCTGGAGGTGTCTGGCTCTGCAATGGTAATAAGGTAAGGACCCCAATTCTAAGCTTACAGCTGGCTAGTGGCAAACATCATTTTTGCTGCTGGCATTGACTGTTGTACACTACTGGGCCATTGAAAGCAGCTGAGTAAAGTTCCCTGGAGTGTCTGCTTGGCAGCCATCAACACGGTCTTTGGAAACAATTGCAGGGAAACGTCCAATATCAGAAACACAAGGCAAGAACAAAAGACTTAGCAAGGCTCGTGGGGGAACAGTTTTGAATCTGGGTCTGGGTTGAGATAAACCTGTGTGTAGGCTGCCTGTACCACTTTAGGCTGCAGTTGGATATTCACACAATTGAATTCTGGGCAAATGAACATGCATTTGCAATGTAAAAACCTGATCCTTTGAAAGACTCGCTGTATTATAGCTCACTCAGGTACAGTTTCTAGCAGGAAAGAACATAATGTTACCAAAGAGGTAAAGAACAGAAAGCTAATTCAAAATGCTGCAAAATGTAAAGGAGAATCAGTTATTTGACTGAAGTTTTAATGGCTGCAGATCAAATTTAAAATGCAAGAACATTAAGGGATGGAATGGGTGTAAGATCTTGACAGGAACAGAAGAAAGGAAAATGTAATGGACATTTATAGATAGTTCTCCCAGTCCAAGAAATTGTGTGAAGAAGGAAAGGCTGCAGGCACGCTGATAGCCTATGAAGTCAAGTGTCACTTCAACTTGCACATTGAGTTCAGTGCTGCATTGATGGGTGTGGTCTGTTATCCCCAGAGCAGCAGGACTGGTACTGTTGGCTGGGACTAGGTAGCTATTCACTATGTTAGAGCTACATTCAAATGTACAAGACTATGCATTGTTTTTAGGAATAAAAATCAAGTAATATTAAACAAGGATTGTGCAAAATGCTATATGTATGTTGGTGGTGGGACACAACAGGGGTAATATTATGGTCAAAGCCAAGTAAGAGATGGTAAGCAGCTTAAATAAAAGGCAAACACTTGTTAATTGGGGGTCATATTTGCTACCAGGCTACTGCTTGTGGTTATATGTTCCAAATTTTCAAGCTCAGCCAGGGTTGTGGTATTCATTTTAAAATATGTTAAAACTCATTTACAAGTTGCTTTCAAAACTTCCTTCAAACTTTTATGGGGTCAGAGGCAACTTTAGGGTAGTGCAACCAGTCTGGCCACACTCAGTGCCGGCACTGCAGGGGGCATCACAGCAATGATGTAGAACAGAGTGAAAGAGGCAGGGGGCACAAAAAATTCATGTTACACAGGGTGCTGCTGAAATTTGAGAGTCCAAAATCTGCCACTGACAACCCTTGTTGTGAATTTTCGTGGCTCTAAGATCAGGAGTGGGGAACCTCTGGCTGGGAGCCAAACTTCCCCATTTGGCCATGAGGCCATTTTGGGCAAGTCATAGATAAAGGCAGGGTGGGGCTTGCCCAAAGCTGTTTAGTGCAACTCCCAAAGAGCTGGTTGTCAGGAGCCTTTGAAGCACAAAGTGGGGACCCAGCATTAAGCAGAATCATTCCCCTTCACATCAGCTAGTACAGTGGTACCTCTGGATGCGAACGGGATCCGTTCTGGAGCCCCGTTTGCATCCTGAGCAGAACGCAACCCGCGTCTATGAGTGCGCAGATCACGATTCGCTGCTTCTGCGCATGCGCGTGACGTCATTTCGTTACTTCTGGGTCGCTGTGGAACGCAACCCGAAAATGCTCAACCTGAAGCTACTTTAACCAAAGGTATGACTGTACAGGCATAGGCAAATTCGGCCCTCCAGCTGTTTTGGGACTACAACTCCCTTCATCCCTAGCTAACAGGACCAGTGGTCAGGGATGATGGGAACTGTAATCCCAAAGCAGCTGGTTGTAGTCCCAAAACATCTGGAGGGCTGAGTTTGACTATGCCTGATATAGCACATGCTAACTCTATATGAGAATGAAAAGTGAGTCTGGAGGCTGACATTTTCATGGAATTATCCCTCCCCTTCATTTCACTGTATTCATGTTTCTTATGTCATTCGATAAAGTTTGCAAAATTTGCCTGGGAGCATCCAATTGGATCTAAAAGGGAAGGGCTCTAAAGCTCAGGCTTGTTTCTCCATGTAGATTGCTTTCAACAAATCAAGGCAAAAGTACTGAGCAGCTTCATATTATAATCCGAAGAACCATTTCCAGCAGACAATCTCCATGACTGAAACAATGAGTCAGAGTGAAGAAAGAGCACCACCTAGTGAAATGTCAGCTAAATACATGTCACTTTATTTTTATTTTAGTGATGATAGATATAGATAGATAGATAGATAGATGATAGATAGATATAGATAGATAGATAGATAGATAGATAGATAGATGATATGATAGATAGATAGATAGATAGATAGATAGATAGATAGATAGATAGATAGATAGATAGATGATAGATAGATATAGATAGATAGATAGATAGATAGATAGATAGATAGATAGATATGATAGATATTTGTGGATTGTGACAATAGTTTATTGGACAATGATGCTAATCAGATCTATTGTTCTTATCTATTTATATCTGGCTCAAATGACACCCTCCATGTGTTAACACAGTGTTTTCTGGGTGAAAAAAATAAAAATAGTTAACAATGAATTTTTCACATAAATACAAAGAAAAAGAAATATTTCTTCTTATGTGAAGCTGTGTTCCATCCACAGATTTATTTTGTTCCATTTCCACATTTATCTGGATATTTTTTTAAAAAAATCTGTTGAAGGTTGTAGCCCAAAGAGAGAGAGGAAAATACCGGAAGTAAGCCATTAGCTGTACAGGTGTTGTTGTCAGGAAAGGTTTGGCTTCTTGGACCACGGTCTCTGATTCCTTGAGGAAGGGCTTCTGGCAAGAGATGGGTTGTACCTCGCAGCAGTTGGCAAGAATGTGTTTGCTAAGATTCTAGTGAACTTGATCAGGAGAGTTTTAAACTAAATCCTGAGGAGGAGGGAGACAATATTACAAACGACAGGAGAACACCTAGTACTGGGGATAATAGCTTCATTGATACACAGGAAACTGAGGTGGTGGCATTAAAAGCTGCTAAAGGGCAGAAAACTACAAGAAGGAAGCACCTGGAGGGAATGACTCATGGTTTCGGTTGTCACTATGCTAATGTACAGAGTATGGGAAACAAGGAAGACAAATCTTAAAAAGGTCCTAAACAGTCAGTCTGGGAGCACTTAGAAAAGGATGCTGATTAATAAGACCCAGCATGGGTTTCTCAAAAACAAGTCATGCAAGTCGAATCTCATTTCTTTTTTTGACAGAGTTACAAGTTTGGTGGATCAGAAGAATGCTGTGGATGTGATATATTTTTATTTCAGTAAGGCTTTTGACAAAGTCTCCCCTGATATTTTTGTGGAAAAGCTGGTAAAATGTGGGCTTGACAAGGTAACTGTTAGGTGGATTTGTAGCTAGTTGATTGACCAAACCCAATGGCTCCTCATCACCCTGGAGAAAAGTGACAAGAAGGGGGGTGCAGGGTTCTGTTTTGGGCCCATTGTTATTCAATGACTTTATAAGTGACATGCAAGAAGGAATTTGCAGAATTCAACATATTTGCAGATGATACCAAACTGGGAAGCTTAGTCAATGCTGTGGAAGACAGAATCAAGATTCAAGGTGACCTTGACAAATTGGAGAGCTGGGCCAAAACTAACAAAATGAATTTCAGTAGGGACAATTGTAATGTGTGAAGAAGCTGGGGCACACCTGGCTTGCCCATGGTACATGTGAAAAGGATCTAGGCGTCTTAGCGGACCGCAAGTTTAACACAAATCAGCAGTATGGTGCAGTAGCAGAAAATGCTAATGCTATTCTAGGCTGCATCAACAGAGGTATAGTGTCCAGATGAAGGAGCACAGAATTGCAGCCTTACCTGCAGAGACCAGGAATTATAATTCCCCAATCTGTTGATACCAACATGAACTGCTAATTTCATTAACTTTGGTTTGTTTTTAACTGTGCATGACATTGATTTGTTATTGTTTTCAGACCAAGAAAATATTAACTTGGTTGCAGACCACCATTGGGATGTTTGGCTTCTTTTAAAATAAGAGAGACTTCCATTTAGTAATGCTACTGATACATCTTCCACAGTTGCGGTTTGATCATAAAAGGAATGCAGTGCTTCATTCATGGACCAAAAGCACCACCTGGTGGGTGTATGCTTTGCATCATTTCAATACTTTTTATCTTAAGAGTTGGTGACTTGGGGGAAGGGATAAAATAAGCTTTTAAAAATAAACCTACTTTTTTGTTTAGTTTTTGTATTGAAACAAATTTCAGTTGCATGTACCACACTCTGTGAGAGATCCTGTGACTCCAGTTTCGACAAAAGAAGCAGCTGAAAGAGCTATCATCTCTTTTCATTGTTTTGAAGGTGTAGTTTACATTTGGCAAAGTCCAGTCTCTGTTATTTATTCATTTAATGTAATATTTTTTAAAGGAATTATTGTTGCCGGTAGACATTAAAAATACAATGTCCAGAGGGGACATGCTCTGTCATGGTGAAGAAACAAGGAGTTTTGTGGTACCCTAAAGATGAACACATTGAACGCGGCATAAACATTCATAGTCCATGAACCCTGATACCATAATACATCTCTATATTTATTTGATTCCATTTATGGATTGATACCTGAAAGTAATTTCACAGAAGAAACAGCAGCAATAAAAAACAAGTCCACATGTAAAAACAATTAAAAAGCAATGCCATACATGCAAACAATTTAAAACAATTTAATGTGTTAAAGATGATGGCAAGTCCAGTAGAGATACTAGTTGGGTTAA